GGTTAATTTTATTTCAGTGAGTTTTTGTAACATAGCTAAGTTATAGTTATGCATAATTTTAAACTATTAGGGACTTAAATGCTACAAGCACTTTACATGTATTGGCTCATCTATGCCTCATTATAAAACCAACATAAGTACTATTAGGAGCACAACTGAGGATGGAAGGGCACAGATGGCTAAGTAACTTGTCCAAAGTCACACTAATTAGAAGAACTGGAGCCAGGAATCAAACTCATGTAATCTGACTCCAGAAACCATATTCTTAACCACTTATACCATGTCCCTATATCTAATATAAGAATTATCACAACAGGGTGGGGGGATGGGTTAGCCTGGTGATGGGTATTAAAGAGGGCACGTACTGAATGGAGCACTGGGTGTTATATACAAACAATCATGGAACACTACATCAAAAACTATTGATGTATGGTGATTAACATAATAAAATTTAAAAAAAAAAGAATTATCACAACATGTGGTCTAAGAGAAGATGAGGCCATGTGTTATGCTTCCTCATACCTGATATAAGTAAGCACAGTGATTAGCCAAGATGGGTCGTGCCTTCACCTCTCCCTCATGTATAAAGCATCAATGTCACATATTCTATTAAATTCACATGTTAGGGCTAGCTGGAAAATGTCTCCAAGTTGTTTTCTGCTCTTTAGGGGAAAAGGTACTATTTTTAATCACCAGTTAGTCATTTCCAGATGTCACATCAAGGTTTTCCATATTTATGACTCTTTGAAAACCAGCAGCTGGGAAGTGACACTAATTAAAAAGCTACTCTTGAAGAAACTGTATGCTATGTGGTATAACTCTTGAGCTTATTTCTCCTTTTTTGAGACACTGCCTAGAAAATGATTTCTGAGTTTTAAATAGGATTCCTTGGATTTATTTTAACAGATATTTTGGAAAATCATGTTCATATCATATATAGAATATATGCTAGAATGCTTCCTTTTTATTCAACTCTTAGAGTCTTCCAAGAATATTAAAAACCATGAATTGAAAAATTGATTTTTTTGTTGTTGATGAAAGTACAAATTGGAATCAAATAAAGATATTTGGTGAAATACATGGATGGATAATCACAGAGGTAAACCTATTTGTTAAACTACCAAGGTTTATAGAATACTCTCAGAACATTAAGAAGGAGCAGGGAAATAAGTACTAATATGTGGATAAATTAAAAAACAATCTGTGGCTATTAAAAAAATAAGAATAATGTAGGCTGTATTAGCTAATTTTAATATATTCTTACATATAAATTTTTTATAGCTTAATGGACAAATATATAGGATATCAAAAAAGGAAATACATGTGATTTTGGTCAATTCTGGGGATATATGAAGATGCAATGTTGAAATGATGTGGCAATTTTTATCCTTTAATATTTAGTTCCTTTCCATTTAAATACAATGATTTTTTCCACGTTTCTCTTTCTTTTTTTATTATGTTCAGTTAGCCACTGTAGAGTACACCATTAGTTTTTGATGTAGTGTTGTGATTCATTAGTTACGTATAACATCCAGTGCTCATCACAACACGTGCCCTCCTTAATACCCATCACCCTGTTACCCCCTCCCCCCACTTCCCTCCCCTCTGAAACCCTCAGTTTGTTTTCCAGGGTCCATAGTCTCTCATGGTTCGTCTCCCTCTCTGATTCCCCCCCCTTCAGATTTCCCTCCCTTCCCCTATGGTCCTCTGTGCTATCGCTTATGTGCCACATATGAGTGAAACCATTGTTTCTTTTGTCTTTCTCTGCTTGACTTATTTCACTTAGCATAATCCCCTCTAGTTCCATCCATGTAGACACAAATGGTGGATATTCATCCTTTCTGATGGCTGAATAATATTCCATTGTATATATGTACCACATCTTCTTTATCCATTCATCTGTTGAAGGGCATCTCGGCTCCTTCCACATGTTTCTCTTTTTTTTTTTTAAATTTGTTATTGTTATGTTAATCACCATACATTACATCATTAGTTTTTGATGTAGTGTTCCATGATTCATTGCTTGTGCATAACACCCAGTGCTCCATGCAGAACATGCCCTCTTTAATACCCATCACTAGGCTAACCCATCCTCCCACCCCCCTCCCCTCTAGAACCCTCAGTTTGGTTTTCAGAGTCCATAGTCTCTCATGGTTCGTCTCCCCCTCCGATTTCCCCCCCTTCATTCTTCCCCTCCTGCTATCTTCTTCTTTTTTCACGTTTCTCTTTCTTAATGGGAGATGGGATCCTTGCGCTTCCTTCCTATACTGGGTGACTCTGAAATGTGGTGTGAAAGCTTCCAGAGACCTCTGTGGGATCTGACACAAAGTTACCCTCTGTGAGACTTTGCTTGCCATTGCAAAATGGCTTTGTCTCTTTCTTTTCCCTGCCTGACCCTTCACTTCTTTACCAGTAGTTCCTTCTTAATACTGTAGTAATCACAACTATCCTGTACTCAGAATCTTCCTATACTATGACATAGGTAGATGACAGGTTGCTCTTTAGAACGAGCTGATTAGAATTTAGCAGGTAATTTTGGAACCCTTCTCACCATTAATGGAATTTTGAGCTATTTTTAGGTAGACAATACAACATGGCATCCAAGAATATAAAACTTAAAATGTATAATTATCTAGCTCCTAGTATTATGTTCTAAGTCTCACAAAAATGCCGACTCAAAAATTTTTTAATATCCATGTTAATCATGTCTCAGGTTCTGAGAAATTACAAATTTACCCAAACTGGTCATAAGCAATCAAATTATAAACAGAAGGAAGCTAAATATATTGATCTCTATAAAGTAGTACATGTATGAAATTCTTAGGGCTATTACTCTATGGACAGATAGAAAGACAGGAATATATCCTATGATATAAAATTAAGTGAAACTAAAAAAAATGATGAATCTTCATTTCTCAGAAATTGGCCTCTGTCAGAAAACATGACCTTTAGAATTAGAAATGAAAAGTCATCTATATTAGAACTAAAATAGTGGATGGTAGTTTGGCTATTGAAACAAAGCAATTGCATTTCTTCCTAAAAAAATGAGAAGGAAAGAAAAAATAACAAATGATAAGCAATCAAAAGGAAAGCAACCAGGAGTATAATGTAATATGTGATTTAGAAAAATGAATGCTAAAATGACCAAGAGACCAAAATCACATTTCATGAAGAGCAATAATACTTAAAGTTTGGATAACCACCAATTTCTCTCTGAAGAGATATTTTCTGAATAATTAAAGATAACCTAAAATAGGGTGAAATCAGGTTCAAATTCCTCCTTTTCACACCTGATGCTTTTCTTGACAGGCTGAAGCAGAGTACGCTAAAAATATTTGTTGGTAACATTTTGAAAAAGCTATAGTCTCTCACAAAATACAAAGGAAACTTCTTTAGAAGACCTTTTTTTTCCAGCTTTATTGACCTATTACTAACATATACTTATGTCAATTTAAGATGTACAATGTGATGATTTGATACATGGATATATTGTGAAATGATGACCACAGTAAGGTTAAATGCCTCCATCCCCTCACATAATTGCTATTCGTTTGTGTGTGCTGATAACATTTAGTCTTTTAACAACTTTCAAGTATATAATACAGTACTCATAATCACAGTCACCATGCTATACATTAGATCTCCAGAATTTATTAATCTTACAGATGGAAGTTTATACTCTTTGACAAATATCTCTCCATTTTTCCCAGCCACTGGCAACCACCATTCCATTCTCTTTTTCTAGGAGTTCAACTGTTTTAGATTCCATATAGAAGTGAGAACATAAAGTATTTATCTTTGTCTGACTTATTTGACTTAGTCTAATGCCTTCAGGGTCCATCCATGTTGTCACAAAAGGCAAAATTTCCTTTTTTATGACTGCATAATATTCGTGTGTGTGTATGTGTGTGTGTGTGTGTGTGTGTGTGTGTGTGTGTGACATCTTCATCCATTCATTCCTGGATGGACACTTGGCTGTTTCCATGGCTGGGCTATTGTAAATAAAACTGCAATGAACATGGGGGTATAAATATCTCTTTGAGGTAGATTTTATTACCTTTAGAAGACATTTTAATATTAATTTTGGCAAAGTAACTAGGTAAGTTGCAGAATTTCCTCTTTGAAGTTCATATTTTCTTCTACCTAGAGTGACATAGAAATTATGTTCTCAGGAAATTCTAGCTTTACATGCTTATGATATGTTGCATCATTTGGGTCAAATCATGGAAGACAACGTATTATAGTAATTAGAAATGAGACCTCTGGAGCCAGACTTCCAATGCCTACTACTAAACGACTCTGTGCCTCTGTGTACTACTTTTTTGATCTGTAGTATGGGAAAAATAATAGTAATTACCATATAAGAAGTTGTGAGGATTGAATGAGCTGATTAATATAAAGTGCTTCAAACATTACCGAGCATGTATTGAGTAGTCTATAATTCTTGGCTGTTGTAATAGTAACAGTTTTCCAGTGGCAGAAATGGACTTTTTCAATGTTCTTTCTGAGTTCAAAATCTCATATACTTTATCTGAAAATAAAAGTTCATTCTTCTAGCATAGAACCTTATATTATCTATGTACATAATATAGTTTGTTTATTGTCCTCAATTAGAAATACAATCACCTGACTTATCTCAGGCATTTCACTAAATCGTTTATATTCTTTCTTACTAATACGGCAATAGCTCTGCCAGGTGAATATTAATATTTCCATTTTACTGATACAGAAACAGATTCAGAAAACTTGCCTAAAAGCTAAAATTCACACATCTAATACATATTGAAACCAAAATTTAAGCAAAGTTTGAGCTCATGTTGTTTCCTTATACTGTTTTGTGCAATAGAAAGAATAAAGAGGTCATTGTTAGATGGGAATCAGCCTTGCTTGATGGATGATCTGTCTTTTTTGCTCTGAGGAACACAGGGGACAGTGCATTTAGCTTCTCAGAACTTTCATTTTCATGATGTCATTTTGACCTGGAAATTTTAAATGCAAAACAACCAATTTCTTTCCAGAACTACATGTATATGATGTTGTGTTTTCAAATTCTCCTTAAGCAGTTTGAAAACATACCCATAGCTATGAATGTGACTAATCACCCACTGCCTATTTAATCACTAGACCCTTACAATTTTTATTCCACTTTCAGTGTTTGCACTGACCTTTGCCAACATTTAATTGACGCCAATCCACATGAATGCTTAAACTTGAATCACCTAATTGCTAGAGATTTCTTTTACTTAAAGGAAATCCAGAGCACATTTATTGACAACATTAAAGTTCTTACTAATTTCCTGCTTAGAGAATAGTATGAAAGAGCTGCTTCATCTAGGAGAATATTAACTTAGAAACTTTAAGATGAGAGAAGTATGATTTAGAAGTAATGAGAAATAAAACCGAAATTCACAGATTATATTTATGCTTGCTATTTTATTTCTATCTACTTAGACTTTTTATTAAGGATGTTGGTAGGATTTTATCCAGTATCTTCCGGAACCTCTATGAATAAACAGTTCTGGTTTTCTTCTTTAACTTGATATAAATTACAGTTGTATTTTTTTCTAAGCTTTATTTGATTTTTGTTTTCTTGTCTTATTCTTTTTTTGTCTTAAAATATAGCACTTCTATCATGTTTTATATATAGCAGAGGAAATTGCTGACTTCATGGAATCCAAAGTATAATAAGATATTTAATGTGATGATGGTGAAGATTGAGGGTCCATCCAGTTGAAAAAGAAATGCTGTGTATATTATTAGACTTGCTGAATGATTTCCAAATCCTCTTCTTCCCTTCTGTCATTATCACTGGTTTCAATAGGAAAACAATGTATGAAGACAATTTTTAAGGGAATTTTCTGACCTTAAGTCAAATAAGGGACACTTGGATTTGAGGTTACCGTGAACATAGCTTTACCTGAGGGTCTGGAGTTGGAAATTCACACAGGCCAGTGTTCAACGCCCCAGGCCCCTGTAGAAAACAGAGTGAAAGAATGATGGCTTTGCCTTTGATGTTAAAGCAAGGAGGGAGGGTGGTCATGGAAACAGATTTGCATGATCACTTGTGGTGGGGAAAGGGTGTGTATTTCCATGGGCCAAGCCTAAACTGTAGGTTGGAACTGAGAGGTACTTGCAAGTGGATTGGCAGGGCCAGGTATCAGTGCAATGCAGAAGCTTCCAGTGTATTGTGCATTGCTCAGATCTCCTCTTCTGGACCATGATACTTATTTCCCCCACTGCTTGGAGTATTGCTTGCTAACAACCAATAGCCGAGTTCCTCACTAGGAACTGCCATGGCCAAAAGGAGCAGCATTTCTTAAGGGTAATGCCTCCTGGCTGTCAGCAGTTTGCATTCAATAACTGGTCTGTGTTGGGGCATAAAAATCTAGCCTTCTTACATCAAATGAAAATATGTCCAAAGGGCATCCCAGTATCAAGATTTCCCTGTGAGACTGGCTGAAGCCTCATTGCAGCTGCATGACAATTCAGCTTTTTCTTTGTCCTATCCTGCTGCCATCACATCCTTACACACAGTGTTCCTGAGATCACATCCCTTCTCCTCCTCTTCCCATCTCTGCAATCATCTGCAAATTTCCATCTCAGAATCTCCGGGAATCCACCCTATGGCAGATGCTGCTGAGAATGTTCCTAGGAGCAAACTCTAAGAACTCTAAAATAGGATTTTGGAGCTGAACTACATGTTGGCTGGCCATGAGATGGAGTAGCAATAGCCCTGGCAGAGGGTGGTCATGTCATTGTTCAAACTGTCACAGGCCTTTGAGAGGTACCAGGGAAGTTGTAATTATAACAACTGAGTCTCTTCTTAAGCCCTCACAGCCAACTGAATACACATTCCCTGTCCCTGAGAAGAAAGGTTTGTTCTCAAGATAAGAGTAAGTTTCTTGGTTTGGATACCAGCATGGGGGAGAATAGTTCTATTGTGCTTTACTTAAATCAGGAGGATTAAATAAAAGTTTCTGTAAAGTAGAATGAGTTCAGTCTCCCTCACCATTATCATACAAAAGTCTTCTGCTAGGCTGCTGCTTGGCTTCTAGAATGTTGGGTAACTTTCTTATGTCACCCAGACAGGAAGGTAGAATATTTCTTTCTGGAGAAACTATCTGTCCCAGGGGAAGGACCTATAAATACTGACATTTAACAAAACAGCCATCTTGTATCAGGTACACTATAGAGAATTCTACCAGTCCATATACTCCATATATGACACTATTGCTTTAAAAAAAAAAAAAAGATTATTGAGAGGAAGTGAGGGAGAGAGAGAGAGAAGGAGCAGGGAGAGTGGCAGGCAGATGGAGAGGGAGAAGCAGACTCCCCGCTGAGCAGGAAGCCCAGTGTGGGGCTCCATTCCAGGACTCTGGGATCATGACCTGAGCTGAAGACAGACGCTTAACTGACTGAGCCACCCAGGCGCCCCAGCACAATTTCTAAACCAGACTTTGTAGTTTCATTCAAATATGAACAAACAGAAGTTAGCAGAAGAGTTCTAATTTAAGAATTCACCAAAATACAGCAATAACATAAAGTACCTTGGAGAAATCCATGATCGTGCAGGAAGTAAAACAAACCATTTAATTAATATCCTTAGAGAATTAAGAGAAAGTAGCGCATCCATGACACAATAAGATGCTGAGGGGAAATTATATTCAACTAAGAATTATAAACACAGGCACACTCCCAATAAAGTGTGAGAGTAGAATAAATTTTGTCTTCAAAAATATGCATTCTTTTTTAGGAAAGCTACTGCTCTCCCAGAACAAGGTTATAGGGCAAAACAATTAAAGATGGGTACCTGGAAACCGAATCTCAAAAGAGGCTGAGAATGTCCAGGAAAATGGTAAAGAGCTATCCCAGGATAGTGTCTATGTTACAGATCTAGAGAGCGATTAGTCCTCATTAGAGCAGGACACAAGGTATTTTGCATACAAAAATAGGAAAATTCCCATAGGTATTTCTCAAAACTAGTAAGTGGATCAATGTGTTTGACCTTATTTAGAGGTGTTTTAGAGTTATGCCAGACAAAGCAAGGAGGAACAATAATAGATGCATAGAAAGCTAACAAAAATTAGAACAAGGCAGTTTATTAACCCAGGTAACAAACAAAAACCCCACAAGTAAAATTATATAGTATACTCTGTGAGCCTCTAAGCATCAGTATTTACATACTCAAAGTACTGGTTTCGATATTTGATATGCCTACAGTATATTGAGAGTGAGGATGAGGGTAGTACAGGCATGTGAATGGTAAAAGAATAAAATTGTTCTTTGCAAGAGGTCAATAATGACTGAAATTTAAAAAAGCAAAATAGCTTGCACCTATTAAAAACATAGAGGTAACTACTAGAAGAAACACTTCAACAGTTGCTTTTGGCTAAAGGTCTTGGAAAATGAAATGGAGCTTACATTATCTTTATAAACTGAGTAGTACTTTTTAAGTTTCTAAATTATGTGCAAATATTCTTTGGTAAAAGAGTAAACCTATCTATTTGAAAGATGAAATTGTGCTTTAGAACTATTGCAAATAGTACTCCAGGCTGATTTGCCTTGGCTGTAATCAGATTATAGCAATGGACCTAAGCATTAAACACACTTAAAATATGATCCTCATTACAAGAAAGACTGTTTTAGCTTTGATATCTATATGGCAGAGATCCCAAACCCAGCATGGTTCATAATATTATATCAAAACAAATTAAACATGTTTAAAGATGCAATTAATTTGTCAGCATATATAATCATGTTTGATTATAATACATGCATCATCCATCTGAATATATTAAATAATGTCAGCTAAGATGCAGTGGATAGACGTTATGTATAAGGCAATCATTAAATACTAACAAATCTAATGAAGTAATTGCAAGTGTTTTAATATGATGTATTTTGAACATAATCATTTTTACTTTTCATAAAATTAAGTTAGAATAACCATTTTTTTCCTGACAAAATAGGGAACTAAAATATATCTTGAAATTGGTATACTGGTAAACTTTATTAGACTTTTGACATTACACTTGTAGTGGAATTTAGATATTGTTTTGGTATAGTAATTTATGGATACAGTTTAGGAAGGTTTTCAAGTATATGATTTTAAGTAACACTGAGTTCTAGTTAAAACATTGTGAATTCTAAAGTGTTTGGCATTATATATTCATTGCAGTTAACTGCTTTTCCCTAGGAGACCACATGCCCTGGTTTGCCTGAGACTTTCCCACTCACTGCCTTCCTGTTTTCCTATCCTAATTATTAATATCATCTCCTTTAACTGACAACATAGTGCTAGTTCAAATGGGAAATTATATTGTCACCCTACTTCTCTGGCACTTAGGGAATTATTCAAAAGGCCAAAAAGGAATTCAAATTCTAAAATCCCAATTTCGATTTTTTTAGTATTACTTACTGTGATAAAGTATTGATGAGTATACACTTCTGTGTCCTTTTCCTTTCTCCATGTGGTAAGACACTTAAGTCAGAAAGTGTGACTCATACTCTGTAGGTGAACTAATCTGTACCTCCATAAAAGACTTCATGTTCTGGACAACCTTGACCTTATACCATGAATTTCTTAGTGCTGTTGTCACTCTATAGTGCATTTGCATTTGTTTATGGATATGTGTTTTTATTATAATGCAAGCTCTTTGCAAAGTCTAGTGTCTTCCACTGGAGACCAGTAATGTCTAAGTGCCTGAATATAGTTATTCCAAACTGAAGCCAGATTATTAAAACATTTCAACATCAGCTGGATGAATTATCTATTTAATGTGAAGTAAATGGTTTGAATACTTTCTCACTAACCTGGTAATCCTGTCTATTTCCTGTTCTCTATACATCTCGTCTAACGGAGCTGTAACTATAGGTTCTTCAGGTCCTAGTTTAGGTAGGACGTCCTCTGGGAAGCATTTCCTAACTTCCCAAAACTTCTCTAGTACTGTCACATGATCTAGTGAATTCCTGTTTGGTAATCTGTATCCCCTGATAACCGATAAATGCTACCACGGTCCATGGCTCTCGTGCTGAGTGCTGGTTTATTGAGTGAATTGATTTATGTGGCCACATCAGAATGTATAGTGTAATTTTGAATTCTACAGAGAGAAGTCTTGTCTATTTGGTAAACTCACTTTGGACTGCAGTACAGGTTTTGATGTGGAAGGCAGAACAAGAGAGCCTGGCAGGAACAGTGGTTCATCTGATAGTTGATGCACCAGTGGAATGGTTCAAAGTAGCTTGCCAGAGTGAGTCTCTAAACCAGCAGACATCTCCATTCCACAGATATCACTGCTGCTTTATCCCTGTGCAAATCAGGGAGTATAGGAAGACTGGGTATATGTATCTCTATAGCTTTCCTTGGTTTATAAATCTAATTTTCTTTTGTTTATAAATTCAAATTAAGACTCAAAATGAGGTAAGAGAAATGCCTATCTCTTAAGTGCAAGGAATGCTTAAGGCCTGCTCTCAAAGGAAGCTACCTGCTCAGAATGGCACAAAATCTCCTCTTCCTTTTGTCTCATGGTTTTCCTCACCATGCTTCTGTGCCTTTGTGCATTGTGATCCTTTCACTTAGACTGTCTTTACCCTCTTTAGCTACCTGTCATATTCCTATTCATCCTCCAAGACTCAGTTTAATTGTTTTGGAGTCTCTCTACAATCCCTATCAAGTTTGAGACTCTCTCTTCTGTTTTTCTCTTGCTCTTTTATTCACATACTTTTTAAAATTCACAATGTATTGTGAACTTGTATTTTAGTTAGTTGGCTTCTATAACTCTACTGTGAACTTATGTAAGGCAGGAGAATGTCTTTTTCTTCCTTTTTTCTCTCCATTTATATAAATAGCTCATAAAATGCCTCCTAATTTATGAATAGATTCAAACCCACCAGTGGAAATAATTTAAAAATGTAGAAGTATTGGAAATTGAAGAGACACCTACTTGAATTCTATGACCTTGATATTAAAAT